CCTGAGGCGATCATCTGGATGGTGACCACAGGGGCATCCCTGGGGTACGTCATATCCTGCAGCTCGCGCGCGCTTCATGGTCTAAATACTCAATGTGACGAAGGCGATCAGCGTGCCACGCTGCTGTCTAGACAAATCCGCGGAGCTGAGGATGGTGCGAACGGCGGAACCTGGAGCTGCTCGCCAGGATGTTCCATCTTGGCTGCAACACGTTCTGCAAGCTGATCATGCCAGGCAATCTCGAGCAGCTTGGCCACATATGCTGGGAAGGTTTCTGGGAGGGGGTACACAAGTCCTGCAGGCGTCACAAACCTAAATGGGCCCAGAAAATGCCACTCTGGCCACAGAAAGGACGGCGGCGCCGAGGGGGGCCCGACATGCGCCCCAAGTTTTGGCAGCTTTGGGCAGGACCGTCTTCCCCCACAGGCGAAGCTGCTGGAGACTGACCACGGCCCTTTCGGGGCTGGTGTTGGTCTCCCAAACTAGACGGTGTCACATGAGGGCGGGCCTTAGACCAGCTTTCCAGAGGGGGTCCTGGAGCATGAGGAGGGCGAGAGTACGGCTCCTCGAGGCACACCGTGGGCCTGCAGCCGATACTGAAGTACTAGTCCTGGCCTGCTCAAGCATCGTGTTGTTGGTGCCTGTGACCTCGACTCCGAAAGTGGTGGCCGCAGCAGGGCCAGCGTTGTACGACATCAGGAGTAGGAGGAGGTGGAGGAGGAGGAGGTGGAGGAGGAGGAATAACAGGAGGTGGAAGTGAAGGAGGAGGAGGAGGAGGAGGGGGAGGAGGAGGAGGAGGAGGAGGAGGAGGCGGAGGAGGAGGGAGGAGGTAGGAGAGAAGAACGCCTTATTCTATTATCAGCACTTCCATGGTGTGGTGTTTAGCTGTCCGCAGCAGATCCTCATCTGCATGCTTCTTCTACCTGTCCTGTGTACGCAGGCGCTGTGGTGTACACTAGCGCTGCGTTGCATGCGGGTGCTGTGGTGTAGACAGGCGCTGTGGTGCGCACCAGCGCTGTGGTACACGCCAGCATTTTGGTGTACACAGGCGCTGTGTTGCAAATGGCTGCTGCGGTGTGCACATTCGCTGTGGTGTACACCAGCGCTGTGGTGCACGCAAGCACTGTGGTGTAGACAGGCGCGGCGTTGCGCTCGGCTGTTGCGGTGTACGCAGGCGCCGTGGTGTACACGCGCGCTGTGGTGCACGCGAGCATTGTGGTGTACACAGGCGCTGTGGGGCAGATCGCCACCTACATACTGCTCCTACTTGTCCTCGGTCATCCCTAGGCATTCCTGGACGCCGCCGGCGCGGAACGTGACGTCATCTGGGGGGGCGGCAGGGCCGATGACGGCCGCTATCCCGGAAAATCAAAGAACAGGATTTTGCGGTGCCGGTGCCACACGGTGGGGGGGGAGCGTTACGTTACCCCCCGCCCCCCGCATAACGCCCGTTACCGTTATCGTCGAAAATAAAGAAACGCGCTCCAGTTCCTGTTCATTTTGAAAAGGCCTCGCTGTCCGCGCCGCCACGGACGTTGTTCTTTGAAGACGAAAAAGCCGCCTGCCCAACAGCGGCCGCTGCTGGTTCTGGACAACATTTGTTGTTGGGCATTGTGTCCATTTTTCCGTACCCAGTTCGGGCGTCCAAAAATTCAAGCGGGGGTCAATCAGAGCGCCGGATTTTGCAGGATCCTGCAGGGCCAGGGGTGCTTTGGCCCCTGGCTTGGGTGCAGGATCCGGCAGGATCCTGCAACATTTTGCCGGATCCTTCAGAGCCCGACTGACTGGTCTAGGTTGATCCGGGTCAGTAGATCCCGGAGGCCCAGGGGTGCGGCCCACGGTCGAGGACTCCCAGATGGGGTCGTAGCATTTGGGGTCGGAGGGTCGCGCCGCATCGCCGATGCATCGCTAATGCGGCTCGATGTGGGGTCCGATTTACTTCACGTCGACGTCGCGGATGCATCGCCGACTTCGCAGACGCATCGCCGATGCATCGGCGATGTATCGGCTATGCGGCGCGATGCTCAGATCCCATCTGCTCGGACCCCATCCAGGAGGCCTCTGCAGGGGTCGTACCGGCACTGGCCTGCGCGCTTGGATGTGGGCCCGCGCGCCACAGGTGACCCTTGCTCGGGTGTTGCTAGAAGTGACCCTGGCCCAAGGTGCCCCCAGGATTCCCAAGGAGGCCCCCAAGGTCTCCAGCGCACCCCTCACGAGGCCCCGAGGGCCCCAGGGGCTCCAAGGTTGAGAGAAAAGCTGGGGGCACCTTGAGCCACGGGCTCCTTTAGCAACCCCCGACTTGCCTGGGGTCCCCGATCTCCGGCGTCATGTTTTTTTCATAACGTCGACTTTGGAGGGCGCGACCCACTCCTCGGGAACGGCTTTTCATCCTGAGTCGTCTCTTGACGATCCCGAGGCCCCGGGGAGGGCCCCCGAGGCCCAAATGCCGCCATCGGTGTGGAGGCGCGTCGGCGATGCCAGCGCGCGGTGGCGGTGGCGATGGCGGCGATGATGATGACGACGGCGAAGATGACAGTGATGCTGCTGATGGTGACGGTGGCGATGGTGGTGGTGATGATAACGACTGTGATAGCGATCGTGATTGTGATGGTACGGTGGGCAATTATAGTGAGGGTGCCGATGCGGACGATGAGGCAGGTGATGACGGTGGCGATCATGGTCTTCACGATGGCAGGGGTGATGACGCTGACGTCGGCGATAGCGATTGCGATTGCGATAGTGATGGTGAGGTTGATGGTTATGATGATGTTGATGATGATGGTGATGGGGATGATGGTGGTGGTGGTTATGATGGTGCTGATACAGATGTCGACGACGACGATGATGATGACTACGATTGTGACAACGATGATTGAACTGATGGTGATTATGTTGGTCATAATATGGTTAATGACGATGATACGCGTGATGATGATGAGGAGGAGAGGGATGATGATGATGATGATGATGATGATGATGATGATGCTCATGCTGATGCTGGCGATGCTGATAGTGAAGCTGATGATGATGATGATGATGCTGATGATGCTGATGATGGTGATGATGATGGTGACTATGAAGATGATGCTGATGCTGGTGATGATGCTGCTGGTGATGACACTGAAAATGCATATGCTGATGATGGGGATGATGCTTATGATGGTGTCGATGATGATAATAATGTTGGCGGTGATGAGGATGATGACGACGATGACGATGACGATGACGACCATGATGCTGATGATGCTGATGATGATGCTGATGCTGATGATGAATCTGATGAATATGATGAATATGATGAAGATGATGATGCTGATGATGATAATTAGAATGATGATGATGATGATGATGATGATGCTGATGCTGATGCTGCTGATGATGATGATAATACTGATGAATATGGCGATGGTGATGATGATGATGATGATGATACTGATGATGATGGTGATGACGATTCTGATGATGATGATGACGTTGCTGATGATGATGATGCTGATGATGATGATTATGACGATGATTATGATGACGACGACGATGGTGATGCTGATGATGATGATGATGATGATTATGATGATGCTGATGCTGATGCTGATGCTGCTGATGATGATGATGATGATGATGATGATGATGATGATGATGATGATGATGATGATGATGATGATGATGATGATGATGATGATGATGATGACAATAACTAGAAATATGAGCCTGATGACGCTGGTGATGGTGGTTTTGGTGGTGATGAACGCGGAGGCAATTCGCTTCTCGGTGTCCCCGTTTAGCCGCTGGTGCAGACATTCTGCCTCGCCGCCGACGAAGACTGGTGCTGGTGGTGCTGACGGTGGCTCCTCCCTCGGCCGGCCACAACGGCGGGCCACTGGGCACTGCCAGTCATGGGCGCCCCCGCGGCAGGCGCACCGTGTGCGTCGAGCGCGCGCAGGCCCGCGCCCCTGCGCAGAGGGGAGGGGGGAGGGGCTCGCGATGAGCACCTGCGCCGCTGCTCTGCCTCCGGTCCCCCCCTTCCTACGAAGGAGCCAAGTCTAGGCCTCCTATATTCTCAGTATCGTTTCACCGATCCCCATCCCCATGCTCATCCCCTTCGAGACCCCCATCAAAGTACCACCCCAGTTGGGGATACACCCATCGAAACCCGAAGGGAACCGCCTATATCCCCATCTAGGGGGTAAATCGGTCAGTGGGGCCCAGGCCACGCCGCTGGGGATGGGGATCGGTTAAACGATGCTCATAGATGTGGTCGTAGCAGATGGGGTCGGAGGATCGCGCCGCATCGCCGGCGCATCGCCGATGCGGTCTGATGTGGGGCCCGATTTGCTGCACGTCGACATCGCAGATGCATCGCCGACTTCGCAGATGCATCGCCGGTGCATCGCCAATGCATCGCCGATGCATTTCCGATGCATCGCCGATGTATCGGCGATGCGGCGCGATCCTTCGACCACGTCTCTAGGACGCCTCTATCAAAGCCCTCGACGTCTCTGATGCTATTGACATTCAACAGTAGAGCACGGAAGAACATCAGATGTTCTCCACAGCGCCGCCGCGATAGCTCAAGGGCCCTGGTTGGGCCGAAAGGCTTGTGGAGGGAAGGAATGTTTTCTATTTCTCCCCCCTCTCTCTCATGAGCAACTCTGCACAAACACTTATGTACAGCGTATTTCTCAACCTGTCGAGGCGTAAGAAGAGACTGAGCTGGAACAGGCAACGATCTACAAAACTCGAAAACTGAGCGGATTGGCTGCGCTGCTCTCTTGATCTTCGCCTTATTGATCACCTGCTCCGTGGTGACTTCACCTGCTCGCCGAACCCCTTGGGTCTAATGCTTGAACCTCCAGGTGTCGCCGTAGAGCCTGTATGTCAACATGCTCGGCGTTCCCACCGGTGGTGCTGAATACTACTCGTTGGAGCTGCCTGTTAGCTCCGTCAGACTTTGCGAATGCTGGCGCCTGCTCGACCTCCATCGCCTTCTCGCTGATCTTCTCCTACTCGATCTCCTCTGCCCTCTCGTAGGGCCTCTCGAGTTCCTCGTTCTTCGCCCCGAGTGTGGCCAACTCCATCTTGTAGGAATACATGGCCTTCGTCTTGTAGTACATGAGCGTGGGCAGCGATGCCCATGGCCGCGCACAGTAGGGCGAACCAAGACACGAGGTTGTCACCCTCGCTGATCTCCTTGATGCTGCTGGTCGCTCCAGAAACGATGGTCTGCAGCAATTCGATCTGAACTTTGCCAGCTGCATGAGGGGTGAGGTCGCCTTCCTTGATGCTGGTGATGTAGCCGCCCTCGTCTGGTCGATGCTCTCCTGTCGCTCCTCTTTGGTCTTCTTCTTGGGTCGTGCATGAGTTGGAGCCGCTCATGGCGTAGTCGATCTGCGAAGAGCTGTCTCGCTGCAATCTACGTCAACCTGTCCGCGTGTGTCGGTAGCCTCCATCCTCTGGCGCCTGCTAGCACCTCGATGCCAGTCCTTTCGTCCTGAAAGCTGGTGATGCTCTCCTTCTGGGTTGCGTCGTAGAGCGCCTTGGCTTCCACGACCAGTGCTGACTCACCGTCCTGGTGACTGCTCTCGTTCTTGGCGATGTCCACGTTGTCGTATATCATGGCTGCCTAGAACCGCTTCGGAAACTCAAGTGCGTCCATACTGCTGCTGCTGCTGCTGCTGCTGCTTGAGACTCTGCATGTAGTGATGAGCGTACTAAAAGTACAAGCCTGAAAGACTTCCAGTCGACTACGCAGAATTCGGACTCGTAGCCCTGTCGGACCTCCTTTGGCATACCAGGATGACGTATCCTCCCTGGCTTGCTCCGTCATGCCGTACTCCCCAGGCTGCGTCGGTTACCGTCATGAACATGATATCGCCGACTCGCCCGATCTTCATCTTGAGGCCTGCGTCCGCGTTCTGCTGGTAGAACCGCAGCGTCGTGTTAACCTCCTAAGCTGTACCCACCCGCCGTCGCCGCCGGTATCTGACCTTGGTGAATGCTGACTGAAGCCGATACGTGTGGACACGCCTGTGAACTTGGCCATTGCAGTGCTCCCGGTAGTCCGCGTAGCTGTCGTTTCTCCTTGATCGTCAGTTCCAGGTGGTTGTCGCCGTTGTTTTGGTCGATGGTTTACTTCTTGATGTTCTGGGCAAAGGTCGCCATCTTGGTTTCGATCTCACTGCAATTGGACTTCTGGCTCTACCAGTGGGGAATTTGGCTGACGTCGCAGTAGTTCATTTGTCGTCCTCGATCTACTTCCTGAGCTTGAACAGCTTCCTGACCTCCTCGATGGTATTTTTCTAGTGGCTGCCTAGCCTCCGGTCTCCTCCGAGCATGTCGTCCACGTAAAGTAAGATGAACCCGTCGTTGTTGCCGTGCTTGTCGAAACTCAAAAGCACACGCAGGGGTCCAGAGGATGCTGCTTGAGACCGCTCGCCTTCAGATCGTCCACTGCACGTAGCCACCAACGCCCCAGTACGTCCACCTGGCTGTACGTCGGCTTGATGAGCTTTATCAGGGTGTCGGGCTCGATTTCCATGAGCTTTGCCGCGTCTCTAGGCACATTAGTGTATAGCTCGCGAGCTTGGGGTCGTTTTTGAAGGAATGTCGTCGCCACGGCTGCTGTCCAGAGTCTCCAACCGTTGACGTTGACGTCCGAACCTCGGTGCCGTTGGTGATGCCGTAGATATGTTGCCGTTCAGCGCGTCAGGGTCGTTCAACCCTTAGGAGCCAATTTGGCTTTCGCCCCAGGCGTGCCATCGTCGTTCTTGGCCGGGTACCCACTTCGCCTTGGGGATCCTGCGGAGGTCCTCCGCGCCAGTCGGCGTGTGGAACTCCCACGCGTCGACGCCGAAGAACTCCGCGAGCTCCTTGCGCGTGCCCTCCCTGAACGCTGCTCGCTCGCGGGGCGTCGTGCGCCTCGTGCTACTGTCCGCGCAGATGTCGTCGAGCTTCGCCTTGTCTCCGTTGAGGCTCCCGGCCGAAAAGAAGATCGTCGCTGCTGACTATCAGCTGTTGTGCTGCGATTTCGTCGTCTGCTGCCGGTACTGGTCGCCGAATAGCCGCGTTCGCCCCTGGCGCGGATAGGGCTGGTTCTCGATGTACGCCTGGACGGAAGATCGTCGTCTCGGCTCGATGCAGTCGTAGTCTGCTCGAACGTAGGTTTGCTGAGGACTCTGCCGGAGTCGGTGGTGGTGGCACCATAGGTGCTGCTGGTACCGGTGTCGGTTGCTCTGGCTCTGGTGGTGGTGTTAGTGGAATCGGCTCTGCGTAGGGCTGAGCGGCTGAACCTTCTGATGCTCGGCGGCTGTCGCGTGGTGTCGTCATCTGCGCGTCTGGCACCCCCTCGGCCAGTGTTGCCTCCGATGCTGATCCAGCTGGTGCTGGTTCAGCTGGTGCGGCCGCCGCTCCTGATGAGCCTGCCGCTCCGATGGTTGCCTCCTCGCCGATCTCTTCCTTTGGCGCAGACCCTCCAGCCGCCTGCTGCCGCTTGGCAGGCCTCCACTGGTCGTCGTCGTCGTTGTCGTTTTCGTCTCCGAGTCGCCTGGTGCGTCGAGCGGGGGCTGACGTCGCAAAACTGCCTGACGCCCGTTCTCCGCATCTTGCCTGGCGTGTCCTTGGCCTGCGTGAGGTTCTCGAGTAGAACGCAACCTTGGGCACTCACGTCTGGCCGAACGTGTTCGGGTGCGCGGCGGAATAGCTGAATGCTGTGCGCGGTGCAGTAGATCTGCGGTCCGCTCTCGTCCTGTCGCATCTCTTTACGTACCGTGTCAGCGGAGCTCTTCCATTTATTCTTGCTGAGCCCGTTGGTCTTCCCCTCTCGCCAGTAGTAGCACTGCTGGCCGATGGGAAAGTCGCGTTTGAGAGCCACGTGCCGTCGTGGTAGTGCGTGCGCCTCGGCTTTCATGACGGCTGTCGCCGCCATGGACCGTCTTCCCAACGCATTCTTGAAGTCCTCGTCCTCCATCATTTGGTATGCTGTCGGTGGCGAGAACTTGTCGCTGGAATTCGTCATGGTGGTGGTAGTGTCCAAGCCAAGAACCCACTGACATGGCGAATGTCCCTTCGTGAACGCCAGGCGGTTGACCTGGTGGGGCGCGTAGACGCATGCCTTGATTATGAGCTTCTCGTTTAGTGTCGCGTTATGCCAAGAACCCACTGACATGGCGAATGTCCCTTCGTGAACGCCAGGCGGTTGACCTGGTGGGGCGCGTAGACGCATGCCTTGATTATGAGCTTCTCGTTTAGTGTCGCGTTGGCTCTGCGCTCGGCCGCGTCCGCACAGTAGAGCTCGATAGCGTCCCGAACCAGTTGATGACGTCGCTCCACCACTCCGAGGCTCGAGTGTGCCTCGCCTGCTGCGATCGCGATGCTGATGCTGTGCTGCTCCAAGAATTGCGAACCTCTCCGAGGCGAAACCTTAGCCGTCGTCGGTGCGTAGCTCGCCCATCGGTCCGAACTACCTGATCCAGCCGTGCTCGATTGCCTTGATGAGCTTGTCGGCCGTCTCCGTCTTGATCGTGCGCAGTGCGCAGTACCTTGTAGCTCCGTCCACCGTGGAGAAGACCGCTGTCTTCCCACCCGAGTCTTGATCCCAAACACGTCGGTGTGGACCATCTCGTTGAACTTCGTCGCCTGCTTTGCCGATGCTACCAGCGCCTTGGTTGGCCTGTGCCGCTGCATAGAGTGTTCGCATCGGTACTCTGCCGTGTTTTTGAGAACATTGTCCTGTGCGAGAGCTTGTTGAAGTAGTCGGTGCAGTACCGCAGGGTTAGGATGACCCATGTTGCGATGCAACCGCTTGATGCAGCCTAGGGCCTCCATGCCGTATTTCTCACTTAGCTGCAGATGTGCATGAACCATCTTTTCTTTCTGTTGCTCTTCCTTGTCCTTCTCTTGGGCCGTCGGCTCCGTCGCGGTGGTGTTGCTGTCGTCCTCGTTGTTGCAGATCTCCTCGATCTCGGGCTCCGCCATGAGCTGGGCCAGCGTGGCCGCCATAATCAACGGGCCGTCTTCCGAAGGCTTGGGTGCGCTTCGTGCTGGCGCCGCTGACGCTGCCCTCCAGCACGGAGTGCCTGTGAGAGTGGTCGCACCTCGTACCATGAGCCTTTTGGCCGTCTTTACGGTGACCGGCTTCTTGACCAACGCATCGCTGTCCGCCAGCGTCGGTCTGTGCATGCACTGGTTGAATGTCGTGCTGGAGCTGGGCGCAGCCCCGACCAGGCTGCAGTCTGCAGGGTCCCCGACGTCGCCGGCTGTTCTCCAGGGGTGAGCGCGACGGCCGCCCTGGTGTTGCGTCCCGCAGACGTCCGCGGTGAAGTTCAGGTGCGTCCGACGATGCCAGCCACGCAGCTCACCCAGGTGCTCCTGCCACCCATGATGTTGGTACATCTTCGGCATCCTGCGTGTCTTGGGCCAGGGGCCATAGCTGGGTGACGTGTGGATCGCTTCGGGCCGCTCCTCCAGAGAGGGTCCTCCTTGCACCTGTCCTGGCGGTCGGCCTTCGAGCCGTCCCACTCGGCGCGTAGACCGAACGTCTCGGCCTTCGCTCCCCGGGCGCGCATCAGGGCTTGAGCGGGGTGGCTGCACGGCTGGCGCAACGTCGCTGGCTGCCCGAGCAAGTTTGTGGAGGGGGCCAATTGGAGTGTGAATGTCAAAATTGAGCAGGGCGGGCCTCTCCAGCGCAGATCCTCCCAGGCACAGCGCGCCTCGTCACGCGGCGCCTGGCCGCTGCTCGACGCACCGCCCTGCGAGTGCTGGGCGCTCGCGTGCCTCACTGCCGAGTCGATCTTGTGGATGGCAGCGGACAGGCTTCGCCAACCTTCCAGTTGTGGCGACGCGTCCTGGCTCGCCTATAGGCCCACCAAAGAATGTTCTAAGAAGCATTCGTGGTCTGCACGACATGTTCTCAGAGCATTTCTGGCCGGGGCTGTCTTGTGCCAACACATCAGGCTTATGTTCTAAGAACATTGCTTTTGTTCTTAGAACATTGTCGGGTTCTAAGAACATGTCGTGGTAGGCCTATAGAAATGCCGGGGCGGTCGGTTTCTGCTCAAAACTTGGCAGCGGACGATGGTTTACATTGGCACAGAGGACACCACTCAATGGAGCAATTCGGAACAAGCATCCTTACGCCACACACAGCACTGACCACAAGTTCCACATCTGCGTCTGAGTGCCCCGGCCCGCCCGCGCCGGCCGTCCAGGCCCCGCCCGCCGGCGGACTCAGGCGAGCCTTGCTTTGCCTTGCCTTCTGGATGAACTGACATATGAGCTGCTTGGCCTCGTCCGTCTCGTCGCCGACGGTCTCCACGAGGTTGCTAGACTCGTTGCTCGGCCGGTCCTGTGGGCGCCAGCATGGACTGGGCAAACCTGCGTTCGCGGGGGTTGCATGGGCGTCGCGGTGAAGCAGAGGTTGCCACACTCCGTGTGTGTTTACGCACTGGTGTTGCTTCATATATGCGCCGCAGCAGTTGGCCTTCACGACTCGTTGCGGGTATTCTTCGCTGTGTGCCCGCTGCTGTATCTGCTCCCACTGCTCGATGTCGTCGCTCGACTCTGTAGCGTAGATCTGGTCCAGGAGTTCCAGGGCGCTGATGGTCAGGCTGTCGCCGTCCACGAAAGGCTCCGCGTCCACCGGCTTGTACTCGAAGTCGAGGTCGGTTTTGGTCGTTTGGTAGTCCAGGCCCTCCAAGAGATTGACCATGTGCTGGCCCTGTAGCGATATGATAGCTTCTTCGAAGTTCCCGCTGTTCCAGGCGATCTGCTGCTTGGCGCAGTTGACCTGCGTTGCGAAGTCCTCGAGCAGGGGTCGTGGAAATAAGATTGGCGTCCTGCCAGGGGCGACGTAGATGTACAGCGTCCCAGTTCTCTGCTTGCAGCTGCCAGGGATGACGCTGCACCAGTGCGCATGCTCGATCTTTCCGCTGCCGAGCCTGAATGGCCTTCGGCACTTGTGAGACTTGCGCTCCGCCAGGTAGTCCATGATCGTCTCCGAGCCTGGCATAAGCGTAGTAGCTCCACAGTCCAGAATGCCGAGCCACGCGGGAATGGTGCTGCTAATCTTCTTGTTGCCCCAGAAGACCTCGTCAACCATCATCTCGTGTGACGTGTGTGGCCGCTTCTCCGGGGGCTCCTTGTAATCCTGTGCCCGATGTTCGGCCTTGCCACATCGTGGGCGCGTCGCCGGACTTGGTGCTGGTCTGCTGGCCGCTGCTGCCCTCTCCGATGGAGGTGGTCTGACGTATGGGTTCTGAGTTGAAGGTCCTCCTTCCCCTCCTCCTCGTTCTCCTCCTCCTCCTCCTCCTCCTCCTCCTCCCTCTCCTCCTCCTCCTCCTCCTCCTCCTCCTCCTCCTCCTCTCTCCTCCTCCCTCTCCTCCTCCCTCCTCCTCCTCCTCCTCCTCCTCCTCCTCCTCCTCCTCGTCCTCCTCCTCCTCCTCCTCCTCCTCCTCCTCCTCCCCTCCTCCTCCTCCTTCGCCCCCAAGGTGAGGCCTGGCACTTGTTTTCATGGTATCAGTGCCGAGCACCCTCGGGGCCCATTGCACACGGCACTTAATTTGCAGGTTGGGCGGGGTGCAACCGGCCAACTTTTCTGGAACTGCGGGCTCTGGGGCTTGGGGTGGGCGTTGCGACACCTGTATCGACGGGTCTCCCGTCGTTGGGTGTAGCACGGCCCCAGTCTCAGCCTGGCCCTGCGGGTGAAGGCGGGTAGCGGCGTCTGTGCGGTCATTTCATTGTAATCTGCCCCTCAGGGATCGGCATTTCCTCGGGAGGCGGTGGCTTGTGCCATGTAAGTCCCAAGGGGCCTTGTGCCCACCCAGGGCTGGGGAGCTTGTGCTCCTCGGTATGCCGTGCCAGCTGTTCCGACTGGGATGCCTTTCGCTCCCAACGCACCATGTCTGAACCGTTGGGCCGCGAGTCTTCACAGGCGACGTGGTCCCCCCCTGTGCCCTTCCTGCGCAGCTGTTGCTGCTCTCTGGGCGGTAGTTCGTTGGTTGGGCGTGTGCAATACGTGGGCGGCCTTCGGGAGACCGACCCAGGGCGCCGGCCTCCTCCTCCCCCTCCTCCTCCTCCTCCTCCTCCTCCTCCTCCTCCTCCTCCTCCTCGTCCTCCGCCACCTCCTCCTCCTCCTCCTCCTCCTCTTCCTCCCCCTCCTCCCCCTTCCCCCTCCTCCTCCTCCTGATCTTTTCCGTCCAGGGCTGCCCTTCCTGCCATGGCCCGGGCTGCCCTCCGCGCCCCTGCCCGAACCGCGCCCCCTCGCTCCCGTGCCTGATCGCGGGGCGCGCGGCGATGGCGGACCCCTTCGGGGGCCTTGAGACGGGGGGCAACGCAAGAGATTGTGCTTTTAGGGTCTGGCGATAATCGGGGGTCCCCAAAAGGGGTGGTGAACACGCCGTGCGGTGAGTCGGTGGGGATTCGGGGTCACCGCGCGTTTTGCGACTCGGTTCGTGCTCCGAGGACGTCTCGGGCGACAGGGGCATCCGAGGTCCCAAAAACCGTGCGTTGATGGACCGTGCGGTGCGGTCTTGGGGGACTTCGAGGTCGCCGCACGGTCTGTCACCGCTTCGTTTCGGGACTCCAAGGATAACCCGGGTTACCGGGCTTGCCCCTCCTCCCCCCCCCCCAAGGATCACCTAACCTTGCCGGTTGTGCAAGTCCGGGGCGGGGGGGGCGCGGGCAAATGCAGGGCTGCCTACAGCGCGAATGTCAGGTTCTCGGCTGGCCCCCTCACTCATCCCCCCCTCCTCCCAGATAGCCCGGGTCATCGACGATTCAAAAAAAAGCGGTCTCCAAACTGGGGTCAGCCAGAGCGCCCGATCTGGCAGGATCCTGCAGGGCCAGGGTCGCATTGGCCCGGGTTGGGGTGCAGGATCTTGCAGGACCTTGCAGGATTCAGCAAGGCCTGGCTGACCCGGGTCTGGATTGACCCGGGTCAGAAGATCCCCGACCCCTTGGTTCCGTTGGATTGGTCGGCCTTCGCCGCCGCGGCGGTGCAGAGAAGCCGCAGGCGAGCCGCAGGCCGTTGAGAGTCGTTTCCTCGCGTGGTGGCAGGCTGCGCACGCCTCGTCGTGCTCGCCAGGGTCGGAGTCCCGCGTGGGGGCCGCCGCTTTTGTTGGTGGTCGCTCTTGCCGCAGTCGTACTGGGCGTCGTCGAGGGGCAGGTATTTCGCTCACGCCCGTATCCCAAACGGGGTCTGCGAGTTCTCTTCGCATCGTAGTGTCGCTTCGCGCTGCGTCGGATGCCGTGATGTTGTGTGCTTTCAACGGGTTCAGCTTTCATGTTACCGCTCCGGAATGTACCGGGCCGTCGAAGCGGCGTTTTCGTCGAAACAGCTGGTCGTCAAGGTGCCACTTGTTTCGTTTGTTTTGTTTCTCTCTCTCTCTCTCTCTTTCTTTCTCTCTCCTCTCGACTGATTTTATATTCCCCTGTCTGCCTCCGAGGCACTTTTGACGTGCGAGATCCTGCCTTCTACGCCCGCTGCGTCGCCGTGCTGCCGTCTCTGACGCCCTCGCTTATGCCTCGTTCTGTCCGCCATCGGCGGGGGCGGGTAATTAGCTGGAGCCGAAGCTGTCCTTTCGAAGTCGAGGGATAAGAGACGTCGAGTTGGAGTAGCAGCGTGGGGAGAATGGAGGAGGAGGAGGATTGGATGAACACCTGAAGCTGGAAACTGGAGGACCGAGGAGGAAGAGGGGGAGGAGGAGGAGGAGGAGGGCAGAGACGATAATGACGAGGATTGCCGCCAGGAAAGCCATGAACTTGGCGGTGAAACCAAGAGGCTGCAATGTTGCTTATTTCTTCTACCTTGTGTTGGGCGCAACTCAGCATGCCGCTCAGCGTGAGAGTTGTCGAGGCTTGCTGCATGCATGCATGCACCATCGACGTCTACGGATTCCATCGATCTCTAGCTCCTGGCCTCAAGCATTACCGTCCGCTGACCTCGATGCCGGCGCGGCTGATTGGGAGGCAATGGAGTTGCATATCGCACTGTGAAGTTCCCTCCCTTTGACCAGTAGCTCTGGGTGTTTCCCCCGTGAACTTTGCATCGGATTCGAGCGGCTTGCTCGGCACTGACCCCTGCCTCGATTTTCTCGATGCCTGCTCGACCGACGCACCTCCCCCCTCAGGAGCCATTTTTAGTTTTTGTTGGTTTCTTTTGATGGGTCCGAGTCCTGGAACACGGCCTTGTGGCGATCTTTTTCTGGCGCGATGGGTCCGTGATGCCAGAGGCTTTCGTCGACGCAGTCGGCGTCCTCGGACATCGGGCGAGAAGCCAGCCCAGCTCCGGGGGAGGTTTCGAGAGCCCTGAGGCGCCAGCGTCACGGAAGAATGACGACGCTGCAGCAGGTTCGGTTACACGGTGAGAGTGATCCTTCGCTGGAGTGACCTTCGGCGCGGGCCCACTGCGTAGGGTCTCCAGATCGTCGAATGGAATGTGGTGGCGGCTTGCGCGCATGGGTTGGCGCCCCCGCGACCCCCCGCCCCGAAATCTGCGCACCAGAGGTTACCATAATGGAATACATCTCTATCCTCATGATTGTCTTCGCCTGATGTCGATGCCGATCTGAAGGGTTCCTTCAGTTTCTGAGGGCGCATCCCTTAGAATGTCATCGCGGTTGGGCTTGTCAATCGTAGAGAGGCTGGTCAAAATGTGTCTCTTGCCTAGGGTCGCTCTGGAGTGTAGCCGCAGCAGGTCTGAGCACGCGCCTCCGATGGGCCTCCGCAGGCCCACCTGCCTGACATGCTCTCGTCGTTTGAAAATATCACGACGTTTTGTAGTTTTGTTGATTGTCGTTGTGTGTGTGTGTGCGTGTGTCTGTCTGTGGGTGGGTGGGTGGGTGGGTTTGGTGTATCGCAAGTTCAGCAGCGTGGTTTTGTTTTGGAATCTCGAGCGCAGTGCCTGACCAAGCATCTGCCTAGTCCGTGATGGAACGTGGTCCGTGGTGGTGCGACGGCGACGACGACGACCCGCCCAGGAAGTCCGTGCCGTCGACCGAGCTGGCCGCGGCCGCCCCCGGTGCCTGCGCCCAGGCCGAGCCCCTCTTGCCGGCCGGGCGGCGCGGTGCCAGCCGGGCGGCGCGGTGCCGGCAGGGTGAGGCCTCTCCCGGCCGTAGGGGAAGCGTAACACGTGAGTATAGGGGAACGAACAACGACATAAGCATCAAACTTCGGAGGTCTGCGCGGATTTCTCGGATCGTCGCTGGACCGCACTGGCGCGCTCCGCGCGCCAGGGAGGGGGATCCAGCGCCGATCTGAGAAATCCGCGTGGACCTCAGAGTTTTGATGTTTATGTCGTTGTTCGTTCCCCTAGAGTACGCGGGAGCTCGGGTTGGTCGACGCTTTTTGACGAGCGTTTTCTAGATTTTGACGGTCCAGATTTCGCGGGATGTCTGCAGCGGGAGTTCGCGTCAGATTTCAGGCTGGGTCTCGTCATTTTGCCTATGGCCCCGTCAGGCCAACCCGTGTCCGCCGAACCCGAGTCTCACGTCTCCTGGCCGCTTGCTTCTAGGCCTCCCATGTGGGGTCGGAGTGACCTTGCGCCGGAGTGATTTCGCAGGCGATTTTCGTTCCTCCAACCCCAGACTGTTCGACCAAACGAGAACTCAGGATGAAAAACCGGCCCCAGGGAAAGAGTTGGCATTTCTGAAGACCGCGTATCGAAAAACATCAGAACGTCGCACGTCTGGGCTCCCATATTGGGTCGGAGTGACTCTTTGCCATCAGGAGGGAAAAACACACAGACAAAATTAATCATCGACTCCCCAGGAAAATATGGGAAGTGGGGGGGAAGACGGAAACGCAGAAAATATAAAAAATATGAGGAATTCTGGGATTTGTGTGTATTTATTTGTGTGTCCCTGGGCCCCTTTATGCCCAGAGTGGCTCGCCATGGGGACAGCGGGTCCTGAGGGAAACGGGTTCTGAGGTTTCTCGCCGTTCTCTGGCTCGCGGGGCCCTCCACGGGCCCTGGCTCGTAATGTCTAGGCCTCCTAGATGGGGTCGGAACAGATGGGGAGGGAAGATCGCGCCGCATCGCCGATGCATCGGCGATGCGGCTCGATGTGGGTTCCGATTCTCTCCACGCCGACGGCGCCGACGCATCGCCAGAGCATCGCCGATGCATCGCCGACGTATCGCCGATGCGGCACGATTGTTTGGCCCTGCCTTTTCTGACCCCGTCTACGAGGCCTGTATAATGGTGAATCGATGAGTGACCGGTGCGATCGCAACGGGTACGGAAGGAGTGGGGACGAAGACCAGAACCAGTGCCCGTCCGTCTGGAGCTGGGCTCGCCGTCGACGCCGCCGTGGGCGTGGTCCGCCAGAGGAGGCCCCGTGTCCGGCAGCGGCCGCTGCGGGCTTTGGGTAACATTTCCCGCTTGGCAATCGTGCCCATCTTTTTCGGATACAACTCCTGGGAAGTAAAATTCTGTTTTCGCCCTGGTCGGAAATCCGGCTTAATCCAGCCTAATCCCGCTTAATCCGGCTTAATCCCGCTCAATCCCGCTTAATCCGGCTTAATCCTGCTTGGTCCGAGGCCCTTTCCGGCGTAACAGCTCCCAAAGGTGGCTTGATCCTCCTTAATCTTTCTGACGAAAACCTCCCAGTAGCTGCCTCCTAACATCTTTTCCGCACAGGCATCGCGCCTAGCAAGGACGCGCGCCTTCATCTGGGGTGCCCTTGTGCCCTTGCCTCTGCGGCCCGTCCTTGACCGTTTTCAGTGGTCGCCCGTCGCCGAACAAATCCCAACTTCGGCCTCCAAGGGTCTTGCATCCTTGCCACCCGTTCTTCATCGGAGGTTGGGGGTGAGATAGCAGTGGAACGGAGAGCCCTCCACCGGGAAATCGGTTTCGGTTTAGTGTTCGTGTCGCGCGTGCGGGCGAGGCCAAGCTGCGTGGGCGCGCGACAGGAATGATGCCGCCGTGACTAGGGGCCGTGGAACCGTTTGACCGCCCCGCCCCCGGGCGCGCGATGGCCCGGGGTGCCCCGCCGGTGGTGCGGAGGTGCCCCGTCGGTGGTGCGGGCGTGCTCCGCCGGTGGTGCGGGGGTGCCCCGTCGGTGGTGCGGGGGTGCCCCGTCGGTGGCGGGGGATGCCCCGTCGGTGGCGCGATAGTGATATCGATAGTGAGATCGAATGTGAGATCGATAGTGAGATCGATAGTGAGGTCAATCGTGAGATCGATCGTGAGATCCGTGGTGAAATCGATTGTTTCATCGAAAGTGAGATCGATTGTGAGGCCGATTGTGAGATCGACACCCCGTTGGTGGCGGCGGGGGCCCCGTCGGTGGCGCGATGTTGAGATCGATAGTGAGATCGATGGTGAGATCGATAGTGAGATCGATAGTGAAGTCAATCGTGAGATCGATCGTGAGATCTGTGGTGATATCGAGTGTGAGATCGATCGCCGGACCGATTGTGAGATCGATTGTAATATCGATCGCGAGACCGACTGTGAATCCGACAGTGGGATCGGTAGTGATATTGATGTGAGTTCGACAGAGAGATCGATCGTGGTACCCATCGAGAGATTAACAGGGATATAGTGAGAGTTCGGTGACGACATTGATCATGATATCGACAGCGAGGTCGATGGTGGGATCTTGTGTGCGGTCGTTTCTGAGTTCGATGGTGGGCTTCGTGCTTCTACCGTGGGAACTATAAGATGTCGACGGTGACATCGAGGACGCTCGAGCGAGCATCCCAGGCATTACAATCAGTGCGGCGATGGCGATCATTGCTGCCGCAGTCGAGTGGTTCAAGCAACCTTGACGCACAATCAGTTCCAGCGCCTCTGCGCGATGTCAGCGGGTGGCGCGTGCCTGTCCGCGCGTGATTCCTCGCTGCCGGGCTCTGCCATCGGAGCTCCATACGGCGGGTCGCGTTGGAGGGTTTCTCAGAAGGGCCTAGGCGACCCGTCCTCCTCCTCCTACTCCTCCTCCTCTTCCTCGTCCATCTCCTCCCCCTCCCCCTCCTCCTCCTCCTCCTCCTCCTCCCCCTCCTCCTCCTCCTCCTCCTCCTCCTCCTCCTCCTCCTCCTTCTCTGGTCGCAGGTCGTGGAAACAGGTGCGGCGGTTCAAGTACGGCGAGGGCCCCAGGGCGGCGCCCGTGGAGCTCGCCCAAGCCCGCGTCGTGAGTGGCCAGCAGCTGTCCGGTGCCCCGGCCAAGGTTCCGAGGGCCGCCCGCGCAGCCTGGCAGTCACAACCCGCCAAAACACACCAACCCAAACCCGCCCTCCATTTCCAATGGGGGGGGGGGATCGGGGAAAATCGAGAACACACATGTGGAACCCGTACCCCCCCGACCCGAAATTCAGGTCTTCGGGTTGGGTTGGGGTGGTCTGGTAGGTCGTCAGGCAGGCCTCGAAATCCTCGTTGCGCAACCACGGTAACAACTACGTGGAGCAGAACGTGTTGGTCTATGTGAACGGGTACCGCGGCAAACCCTCGGAGTTCGAGTTCACCCGCAACCAGCGCACAAAAGATCGTGACACACCCTGCACCTCCGCAGGGCATGGGAGCGGAGGCCTGGCGGATCCCTCCCCGCGCGGTTCATGGGTACGGCTCTTTCCGGATCGCGCGGTTGCTGTCGTGAACCGCTGGCGAAGGTGGGCGCCCCCATGCCGGGCTTCGAAGAAGTGCCAGAAGGTGGGCGGCCTCTAGGCCAATGGTTTCCGAAGAGAGGCCGGGGCGCTGCAGCAGTGATCGCGCCGCTCCCGAAGCAGGAGCCAGGCTCTGCAAGTTCTGCACAGACGCTTCCGCATCCGTTCCAGAACGCGGCATCCCTTCCCCGGGCCCCAGTCGAGTTCGGCGTCGAGCCCGTTTTGTCCTGATGCTGCGGGCCCGGCTCCTGCCCCGACGGCTTCAGCGCAGCAAGTTCAGTGATTCAGGCCGCGCCTTCTGTAGTCCAGCCGTCGGCTCGCTCTCTGGCAAAAGCCTCTCCTCCTTCGGCGGGGGCGGTCTTCGCCGCCGCTGGCGCAGGCTTCAGCGCCAGTCCGCGACCCAGTCACTTGACGAGCCCGCCGTGGCCGCGATGCGACGGGGGCCCATCGCCGCCGCCGCAGAGCCCGCCGCAGCCGTCGCGCAAGCCTCTGGAGAAGCGGAAGGCAGATGCTGGGCCAGACTTTGAGGCAGTACAGGCGTCGGGGCCAAGCTCTGCCAGCCGAGCGGCGCCAATGGCGCCTGCGGCGGTTCCCGAGCAGCCGCCACTCGAGTCGTTCATTCTGCCGGGGGGCGGCGGTGCGGAAGGTTTTTCGCAGATTTGTGAGGTGAGGAGGATGTTCGCGCGTGTGATGCTGGTCCAGATGTGCTTGCAGAACTGCGCGCGACTTGCGTTGGGGACGCTGAGACGCAGCGCGAAAAGTCGGCGGAAACCGCTTCCGGTTGGCCCGCGTTGTCCGGCTCTCCAGCAAGCGTCGCCCCTGGATCGCGAGGGTCACGAAAGGGGGCGCGATGCCAAAGAGTACTGAGGCGGCAGAGGCTCGCGCCATGCAGATGCGCGGGTGTGGGCATGTCCGCCATCCTTTTGGACATCCTTTCCGACGTACAGGTGCTAGCGATGCTTGCGATGTAGGGGCCTTCTGTTTACAGTGGCGGCTTGCGTGCACGTGCGCGTGCAGTCGGCGCGCAACTTGCCGGGCAGCTACGCAAACTTGGTTTCTGGTTGCCTGCCAGTGGCTCAGCCCAGGCTCTGCCGGGCCAAGTGTCGGGGGCGCAGTCGCAGCGCTGTCGCAGGGCGCGCGCGGCCTTGCGGCGTTGCTGGCGGCGCGGCAGGGGGCAGACGTCGGCGTCTCAGCCTGGCCGCGCGCCTGGTCAGCATCGGGCTTCGGTGGGGATCTCTTTTCAGCGCGGGCGCAGTGGCTTCCAGCATTCAGGCAGGCCGCGCAAGATAACCAACTGCTCACGATAAGAATCCCCGTGGGATGATAGAGTTCGTGGGCCTGGCGGGGATAATCACAGATTTTCCCGGCGAAGGTGATGTTATGATGATGGTGATGATGGTGATGATGATGACGATGACGATGGCGATGATGATCTGGGGCGCTCGTGTAATCTGACCTGGTAGATCTTTGCGCAAGACTGGCTCGAGAGATCTCGAGGCTCGTGGCTTCAACTTGCCTGCGCAAGAGAGGTCCTTGGCGCTCCTGGCCAAGTCAACATGAGATGGTAGCAACTTCGATTCGCGGATTATCAAGTTCGGCCTCCGCGCCCCTCCTCCACAATTAAACCTTATTGACACGGGATGAAAAATAGAGGGGGAAAAGGGGGGGTGATTTATTTTCGGGGGTAGTCGGCTATGCGAGCGCAAAGGGTGCGCGTGCGAACAGCAGCGGGCGAGGATGGGGCAGGATAATGATGAATTTGGTGCATTTTCTGCCAGGCTTTGTCGGGCCCAGGCTTGGATGGGAAAAGTGCGAGTGCTCATTGCTAGTATCGCCACCGCCATTGCCACTTGCCTCTCATGCTGGCCGGGCGAAAGTATCATCATGATGTTTGTCGTGGTGGCATTTACTTGGCCCGCTGATGTTCCGATGGTGCCCCGATGTTGCCCCGCTGGCGTCCCGATCGTACTGGGCACCGCTCGTTGTGCGATCGTCCTGAACGCCATTCCTGTCGGTATCCCGTGGTTGTCCCATGGTGTTTCTGGGTGAGATCGATAGTGACGTCGTTATGCGATCGCGGGAGTTTCGAGGCCCAATACATGCCTCCAGCAGCTTGCGAGAGGCAGCTCTGGTGGTATTTGTTTGGCCTCGACGGGGTTCTGGTGGTATTTATTTTTCTCGAGGTAGTTATCGTTGTATGTATTTCGTCTCGAAGGGGTTCTGGTGCGTGGGGCCGAAGTTCGTCCCTGACCGTTGCATTTGCAGCATTTGATGCCCGAATGGGGCTGCTGGTGTCCTGATCGCACTGGGCGCCATTCGCTGCGAGATCGTATTGAACGCCACTCATGTCGGTGCGCTGTCGATGTCCCGTGGTGTTTCTTGGTGATATTGATGGTTGCGGCCGTTCTGCGATCGCGGGAGCTTCGAAGCCAAATGAGTGCATCCAGAAGCTGACAAACAAAACAAAACACGCAACAATTCTGGTGCTATTTATTTGGCCTTGAAGGGGCTTTGATGGGTATTTATTTGGCCTCGAACGGGGTCTTGGGGTATTCAGTTGGCCTCGGAAAAGGGTTCTGGTGCGTGGAGCTGAAGCTCGTCTCTGTCAGTTGCACTTGCAGCATGTGCGGCCCGCGCGGGTCGCGGTCGTGCCGCCTTCATTACAGTCGTTGTTCTGCATTGTTATCATCAGCATCATCGTGCATCGTCGCTGTGCCGTCGCCATCAATTTCATTCAAGTCGTGTCGTCAGTTGGTTTTCCCTCCCACCCACCCCCAACATCCTTATCACCCAAAGGGTGGTCGCATAGGTATACGTTTTGATCGTGCCCGTCTCGCGCTTCCAAATGAGGAGGGGAGGACCGAGGGCTGCCGGAAGGGAGGCCCCAGAGGGCCCCTCCCTGCGGCCCCGAAGGTGCGCGAGGAGTGCACTTCTCTTCGAGTAAACAAGCACGATGGCCATGACCAAGATGTCGCGGGAACTTGTTGGTGCCGATCTCGGTCATGGTCTATGTCGGTCGTCGCCGATTCGCGAAGAAGGTCCACGTGATGACGGTGACCATGCCCGACGGTGACCGAGATCCGCATGACGCTTCCGTGGGCAGTGTTGGTCCTGGCCTCTGTTTTTTCTCTCCTTCAACTTCTGCGCCCCGCATTTCATAAACTGCCCCCCATGTATAATCCATGCCCCACTGCGGCCAGCGCGCGCCCGCGCGCGCCAGGCTGCTGGCACGCAGCCGCCCGGGGCCGCCCGGTGGCCGTCGACGATGCGGCTGACGCCCGACGCGCTCACGGCCGCTGGCCTGGACGGCGGTGGCTCCGTCGGCGGGACCGGCTGGGAGGTGCGCAGCGCCACCGTGGACCGCCGCCGCCTCTTGCCCTGGGTGGGGGCTCGGCGCCGCTCGTCGTCGTCGTCGTCTTCGTCGTCGGATGGCGGAGGGGAGGGGTGAGGCCTGGGCTTCCCTGATGGGATCCGAGCAGGTGGGGCCAGAGAGTCGCGCCGCATCGCCGATGCGCCTCGATGCGGAATCCGACTTTCTCCATGCCGGCTTCGCCGAGGTATCGGCGACGCATCGCCGATGCGTCGGCGATGCATCGGCGATGCGGCGCGATCTTCCGACCCCTTTTGCTGGGACCCTGTTTGGGAGGCCTCTATGAGGGAGGATGGGGAGGGAGGAGGAGGAGTAGTCAGGGGCAACGTTCAGGGGGGATGCGCTCAGCGACCGACCCCCCGTCGCTCCTTCATCTCCGATAGTGGCTCGATAACCCCCCCGCCCAGGGGGCCTGTCGCCAATCTATCGGCGCTGCATCGCCGATTTCAGGTCGATGTTCGCCCCCCTCCCCCCCCCCCCATCCGAGCCCCCAGCCGAGTCTCTGCCGACGAGGGGGGGACCCAGACCCCCTCGAGTCATAAGACACAGTCTGACAGAGCGCCTTCAGCCACTACTGGCAAGGCCTCCCCCCGTCCGAACTGGGGGGGGGGGTAAACCAGCCCTCCACTCCGAGCCAGTGGGGGGGGGGGGCGGGGGCGGCGGGGGAACGGCCCATTCCCTTGCTGGAGTTCGAACCTGATGAGGTGGCGGCCGGATTCGCCAGTCGTCCGTGTTATGCCTGGCAGCCTCGCCCGCTTCGCTGACAGCAAGTTCAGACAAAGCTTACACAAAGCTCAAACAAAGCACTAACAAAGCTCAAACAACAGCTCAAACAAAACTCAAACAACGCTTACACGCAGCTCTAACACATCTCAAACAAACATTGCACCAACCACAGCTGAAACAAGACCCTACAAAGCTCACAACACGCTCTCACAAAGCTCCAGAAAAGCTCGGCGAAGCTCAATGACAACTCCACCAACACGCAACCAAAGCTCCACAGCTCCAACAAATCTCAACCAACGAAGCTCACCACACAGCTTAACACACAGCTCAAGCAAAGGTCCAACAACGCTTCAACAAAGCATTACCTAAGCTCAAACAAAGCTTAATCAAAGCTCAAGCAAGCACCAACGAAGCTCGATCAAAGCTCCAGCAACAGCCACGCCAATTTCCAACACATTTCTAGCAAAGCTCAAACAAAGCTCAACCACAGCTCCAACACAGCTCCAGCAGAGCTCACACAAAGCTCCATCAGAGCTCAAACAAAGCTCCAACAGAGTTCCAACACTACTCAAACAATGCTCAAACAAAGCTCACACCAGGCTAATATAACGCTCCAACAACTATTTGACAAAGCTCAAACAAAGCTCAACCAAAGTTCAAACAAAGCTCAGGTAGAAAGGTCCAACCAAGCTCATACAGAGCTCTCACGCAGCTCCAACAATCTTCAAACCAAGCTCCACCAAAACTCAAGCAAGGCAAACACAACACTACAGCACATCACCAACAACGCTCAAACGAAGCTCAATCACCACTCCAACAAAGCTCAGGCAAAGCCCAACCAAGCTCAAGCACAGCTCCAACATAACTCCAACCACAGCTCAGAAAAAAAAACAATTGAAAGACAGTTCGAGAAACGTTCCAACAAAGCGCAAACAAAGCTCCAACACAGCTCACAGAAAGCTCCACCAGAGCTCCAACAGAGCTCCAACAAAGCCCCAGCAAAGCTCCAAGAAGCTCCAACAAAGCTCAAACAACGAAACTCGAACACAGCTCAACCACAGCCCACACAAGCTCGAACAAAGCTCAACCACAACTCAACCAAAGCTCAAGCAATGTTCGCACAAAGCTCCAACAAGGTCAAGCACAGCTCACACAAAGCTCAAACGAACCAAGCTTCAACACAGCTCAATCAACGCTCAAACAAAGCTCCAACAAAGTTCCAGCAAAGCTCCAACAAAGCACCATTAAAGATCAAACAGCGCTCCAACAAAGCACAAGCAACGCTCCATCAACGCTCTCACGAAGCTCCAACATTCTACCAACGACGCACCGCCAAAGATCGAACAAAGTTCAATGACGTGCAAACAACGCTCAAACGATGCCCAAACAACGCTCACACAACGCTCCAACAACCCCCCCGCAAAGCTCACAACGGCTCGCATTTCAAGAAGGAGGGAGGGTGTCTACCCCCCCCGCCCCCCGGTTCGAGCACAGTGGGTGGTGGGTTCTGTGCTCCCGCCCCTCCCCCCCCGGCTCGGACCGCGGGGTCGGGAGGGGCTTCTGTGCCCCGCCCCCCTCCCCGTTCTCCGGGCAGGGCGGACTCCCCTGGGGTTCCCGGGGAGGGGGGGAGGTGGGACGAGGATGTTTGACCGCCCTCTTTCAGATGGAGGGGGGGGGGTCCAGTCGAGCGAGGGTCTATCGCGCTCCCTCGAAGATTACGACGGGAGGTTCCTCACTGTTTTGGGCCTTGGGGGGTCCTTCCGGGGCCCCTGGACCGTCAAAAGATGACCCTGGATGAAAAATTGGTCCCAGGGAAGGGGTCGAGACCCCCAGGTTCGACGCTTTGAAGATCGTGGCGTCGGGGGTCTGGGGAGTCCCCCCCCCCCTCTTCCCGGGCGCGCGCTGCGGCCAGCAGACGAGGGCCAGGTCGCCTTCGCAAGAGGGGTCGGCTGAACGGAGCGGTGCTGCCTGCGCGAGAGGTCCGCCACCGACTGCGGCCAGATCGAGGCTCCCAGGAGCTGCGTGGAAGTGTGTTCGTCCAGCCGTGCTCCACGAGGTGCCTCTCCCAGGGGAAGGCGACGGGCGAAGAGGGATCAACGGAGGTGAGCAGTGCAGCCCAACACCGCTGGCAAGATTGTCACTTTGGCCTCGGAGGTGGGCGCGGAGTTCCTCGCGGTTCTGCGCGGGATGCTTTCCCTCGGACGCCCCTCCTGCTCGCCCCGCGGAGCCGCGGCCAGCCAGCGGTCTCTGCTCCGCATCCAGGGCGCCTCTCGCGCCAAGGCTTTGATGGCACGCTCCCCTCGCCGCCCCGCTCCTCCTGCTCCTGCTCCTGCTCGGCAGCGTTTCGAAGCTCAGGGTCCGCCGCCGGGTGCTGCCGGCGTTCTTTCAGATTCTCTCCTCCGGCCGCGAGCAGAAGGGTCCGGGACGAGGGGGCACGGCCTCCTCGGAGCTCGCCGCCCCTCGGGAGGCGTGGGGCGGGCATGCTCTGGCACGGGGGGATTGCCGGCCTTGTGCTCTCCCGAGGGAAACAGCAAGATGAGAATGGCCAAGAGTGTCGCGGGATCTCGTCGACACCGATCTTGGTCATGGTCCATGCCTGCCGTCGCTGACTCGCAGGGGTGATCCGCGGATTGGCGATGACCAAGGTGGACGCTGACCAAGATCGGTACAATCGCTCTTAGTCTTGGTCATGGTCATCGTTTCCTTTCCCTCCACTTCCAGAGGGCTGTCCTCCTGACTCTGGCCTGCTCTGCTCGCAGCCAGTCCGCGGGGGATTGTGGCCCCCCACCAGGGCAAGGATGCCAGGAGCAGCTGCCCAGGCCTGGCTGGTTGCGCACGGTGTCCCGCCCCTTCTCAGCCACGTGCAGAGGGAGGAGGATGAGGAGGATGAGGAGGAGAAGGTTCATGAGGGAGGGGGAGGGCTTCTTAGAAGCACCCCTACTCCTTAGAAGGCGCCGGCCTTGTCTATGGGTGTAAGGCAGGCGCCTTCTCAGAAGCAGCCTCCTTCCAAGAAGCCTTCCCTCGGGCGGGGCTTGGACGAGGATAAATCCGTTCCAGAGCGTTCCGGAACGCTCTGAGAAGGCCGCGGCGCCGATACGTCCTCCAGAGCCGCTGGGTCTCAGAGATTCTCGATTCATCCTCGTCCGAATTTCTCCTCGTCCTGGCCTCGTCTTATTGTGCGCGCCGCCAGCCTTATCCTGAGCGCAGCTGGGCCCCGCATCTTTGCTCTGGTCCGGGCCTCCTCTCCCCTCTCGCATCTCCTGCCGCCTTGTCGCGATGCAGGGCGGCGCCACCCTCGGAGCCCGCGCTGCCTTCTGCTTCACAGGCGGGGCCCTGCCCTCTCTCGGCCCGGCTCGTCTGTCTCGAGCATTTGGATCTGCTGTGCTGTTCCCAGAGCGTCCAAAACTTTGTTTTCGTTTCGAATGCTGTCGGCTGGACTCGCTCCAGTTCTCCAGGATTTGCAGCGGCTGGCCAGGATTGGCCCCACCGTCGGGTAAACCCCTCCCCGAAGCGGAAGACAGGAGTTGCAAGAGGAAACGTCCTAAACCACCTCCGCTCGGAGGACTGTTGGGACTCTCCTCCGGATGTTCTTCTTGCCCCCCCCTTCCTATCATTCATCTTCCTCTTCATATCCGCCTTCTCCCACTCCCCTTATTTCATGTCCTCGTTGTAAGTTTGTTGGTTTGGCACCTCCCCCTGTTTTCCGCCGTCCTTCTCCTCCTCCTCCTCCTCCTCCTCCTCCTCCTCTTCCTCTTCCTCTCCTCCTCCTCCTCCTCCTCCTCCTCCTCCTCCTCCTCCTCCTCCTCCTCCTCCTCCTCCTCCCCTCATTTTCCTCCTCCTCCTCCTCCTTCTCCTCCTCCCCCTCCTCCTCTTTCGCCTCCTCTTCTCCTCCCCTCTCCTCTGCTTCGGTACCGTGTCTGCTTCGTCCGTGTTTTTTGTTTCTTTCCCTCTCTCGCTCCATCTTCCCCTCGCCTCCCCAGCCTGTCAGACAGCCTGCCCCCTCCTTCCCAGCCCGAGCGGCTGTCTCGCCCTCGCCGCCAGCGATGTGCATCCTCGGGTGGAGCTGCGCGATGTGCACCACGAACTGGGTGGCCAAAAAGAACGCGTACTACCGCCTCCAGGGCGGGCTCTTCCAGCTGGAGCTCAAGACAGGCCCGAGCCGGCGAATCTCTCAGCTCTCTGGGAGGCTTCGGCGCGCACCGCGTGCCGCGCCCCTGCGCACGCTGCCGCCGACGCCGCCGGCCGGCGGCTGCTGAGGCCGCCGCTTCTCTCCCCCTCTGCACCTCGCGCCCGCGCGCCCCGTGCCCCCCTGCCGCCCGTGCAGGGGGGGGGTCGCAGAGGGGGGAGGGGCAAGCTAGGCGCGCTCGCGTCATATCTGATGCCCTACCCCTCTCTCCCATCCCTTACCATGGCGCTGATTTTCTCTATCCGCGGACGCGTGTCGTAGCGGACCTGTGGCTCCGCGCGCGCGTGCGTAGTGGGTGGTGGTGCACGTGCGTGCGTGCGTGCGTGTGTGCGTGGTGTTGTCGGTGGTGGGTGGGTGGTGGTGGTGGTGGTAGTGGTGGGTGGTGGTGGTGGTGGTGGTGGTGGTGGTGGTGGTGGTGGTGGTGGTGGTGGTGGCGGTGCGGCGCGGTGGTGGCGGGCGGATGGGCGCGCGAGAAAAGAGGCCCGCGCTGGGGCGAGAACGCCATCCTGAACGACGGAGGCCAAACACCGATCCGAAAATGAGGCCCACGCTGCAGCGGGAGCACGATTCGGAACGATTCGGGAGCAGAAATGAGGCCGGCGCCCCAACGAGAGCAGCATTTTGGGA